GAAACAAAATAAATAAAGTAAATGAATAAAATAAATAAAATAAATAAAATAAATAAAATAAAATAAATAAAATGAAAAACAAATTCTCCTGTGCAAGGTATTTCTTTAGAGGGGAAGGGTACATGTACAAACAAAAAACAAAAAAACCAAAAAACACAAAAACAAAACAAAAAAAAAAACAAAAAAAACCAGAGACAAACAAAAAAAACAAAATAAACAAAACAAACAAAATAAAACAAAAGAAGAAATACCTCTTCTCTGCAGGGTAGACACCTGAATATTTCGCTGGAGGGGAAGGGTACATGTAAGAACAGTCCTATATTAGCGGTTCTATTTTTTCTGGTTATATACATTGGGGTTATAAGGAGTTGAAAATCATGGATCCATAGTATATCTGTTTCGTGTATATAAAGTGTAATTTGTGCAGCAAAAAGTTTATTTATATATAAATAAGAAGCCCAGTATTGATCGTTTTGTTGTTGTTGTTTTTCAGGTGTATCTACAGATAAAACATTATGTAATATAGGGCGTAATATATAATCACAAAAATATAAACATTCTTTCATTTCCTTTTCGGGGCAAAATATAGGGTAGCAACTGTAGAAGCTAAGCAGCTCTCTTATTTCTTCTTTTTCTTCTTCGTCAGTTGTATATACACCCGGAAAACCAAAAAAAGATACGTTTAGTTTTGTTTTTTCGCGTAAATGAAATAAAGAAGGCAATAAAGTACATTTAGATGGACGCAACTCAAACCTTCCTTTGCTGCTGCGGATAAACGGGATAGGCTCGCCGCTCCCGTCCCGCTGCTGCGGCACCTGTCTTCCTCCTCCTCCTGCTGCTGCTGCTGCTGCTGCTGGGGTTGGTGCTGCTGCTGGGGTTGGTGCTGCTGCTGCTGGCGGTGGTGCTGCGGAGGAGGAAGGGGGGGATGAGGGTGCGTGTTGTGGGTCTGCTGCTGTTGTGTTTCCTTCTCCTGCTGCTGTTCCTGCTGCTGCTGCTGCTGCTGCAGCAGCAGCAGCAGCATTAGCAGCAGCAGCAGCAGCAATAGCTGCTTCTTCTGCGGGTGTATTTTTGTGTGTTTGTACTCTTATAACCCTCACCGGGAGCTCCATAGACACCACAACAAGCGAATCGTTTTCATCTATCACCGCTAAACCCTCCTGAGCCGACAGCAACCTCTCCCGCAGCTCTGCTGCTGCCTGAGCCTTATCCCCCCCTTTCTCCTATATACAACACAAACCCTAAACCCTAAACCCTAAACCCTAAACCCTTAACACTAAGTGCTGAAAAAAATTCCCCTGGGTTCGGCTTTGTTTACACCTTATAGTACGAAAAAGGAAACATAAACCCTAAACCCTAAACCCTAAACCCTAAACCCTAAATATGTAAACCCTAAACCCTAGCCACGCAAACCCCGGCCATCTAAAGTACAAGCCCTACCCCCTCCACCCTAAAACCCTAGCCCCTAAACCCTAAACCCTAAACCCTAGCCCCTAAACCCTTAAACCCTAGCCCCTAAACCCTTAAACCCTAGCCCCTAAACCCTAAACCCTAAACCCTAAACCCTAAACCCTAACCTCTGTTTCTGGGGGTTGATCGCTGGATAGATCGCAGGAGGTTTTGCTGCGGATGTATCCGTTGTCGTCTTCAACTAACATCTCTGCTCCTGTTGGGGTTAGCTCTCTGTTTCCCTCTATCTCTTCCCACCTAAACCCTCAAAAACCACACGAGGGTTTAGGGTTTAGGGTTTAGGGTTTAGGGTTTAGGGTTTGGGGGGTTGCGAGGGTTTAGCGGTTCATCTGCACGGTTTAGGGTTTGTGTAATATGTAACGCAGGAAACATACTAAACCCTAAACCCTCGTTTTTATAAACCCTCAAACTCTCAGCACAAACCACAACAATAAACCCTAAACCCTAAACCCTAAACCCTAGAAACAGACAAACCCTAAACCCTAATACCTAAACCCTTAAACCATCAACCCAGACCCTCACCCTTGAACCCCCAAACCCTAAACCCTAACCCAGCACCCTAACCCCAAACCCTAACCCATCACCATAAACCCTAAACCCTAAACCCTAAACCCTAAACCCTCGACTCTAACCTGATGATCTCGTTTCTGTCGTTG